TTCTTCCCACCCGCAATTGTTAGAGCTTGTTCTTGCAGGAGAATGGTCCCCAGGGTGCATAAACTGGGTATAAAGGGGCAGGGCCCTGAGCTTCCCAGGGTAGAGCTATGCCCTTCCTTTCTCTCTCCCCGGTGCCCATCACAAGTTCTGGCACAGAGAGGACAATTGACCAACTGAATGAACTTGACTCTCATATCTTGTGCTTGTTGCACTTTATCAGAGATGCATTTATTTTCCTCATATGAGCTGGGGGCATCTGTGCTCTTGCTGGTCGATTAAGGCTGTCACTCAAGCTGTATCTTCCCATAATGGGAGCACAGAGTAAAGCATCAGCAGATTCCCCTCCAAGCACCGACAGGTTCGAAGGGAAGATCATTAGAATTTGTGACACTGAGTCAACCATGCCCAAATGATATTAAAGCCGGGAGGAGCAGCAAATTAGTAAACTTTCCTGTGTGTGTTGGCAGCTGGGCAGTCGCCTCTGCTCTTGTCTGGGTTTGCACGTGACTCACTGCAGGCTCGAGGGATTTGTATCAGCAGATCCTAAGTAAAAATCCCATTAAAAAGACAAAAAGGCGTTCTCCTCATCATTATGATCCCTTTAGTGAGATGCACTGGATCGTCAGAGGCATCTCCTGGAGCTGCCTGGTAATGGATTTACCTGGCTGTCCATCACCTTGGCCAAGGCCTGCCGAAGTGTGGGGCAGAGCAGCCGGGCTGACAAAAGCACCCGGTGCCTCTGGAAACGCCTTGCTCCCTGGGCATTCCCGAAGGGCTATGAGGGAACCATCCTGCACCTCTCGACTGGTTTCAATGCTGTGAGGAGATGGCTATTCAAACATACCTGTCTGGGTTGGGGTTCCGGCCTGGCTGTAGAGGCAGAAGACGGGGAGACCCTGGCTCTAACACAGCCCTTGCCACCAGCCCCATCCAATGACCTGGCCTGGGCCGTATTTGCTTAAACTTGATAAATTCGGTGGCTGTCCTACTAGCATTCTTCACATTTGCCTACCTTTACAACTGTCAATCTTGTGCTGAGTAACAGATGCTTCAGCTGTGGCTCATTCCTTTGGGGATAAAGAACCAACTCAATACCGTATTGTAAGAAGCCACGTGGGATTTGATTTCCACCTCTTCCTCCACACTTGGCTCCTAGTGCCTGCCAAAGTCTTGTGCCCCCGCCCCATGCTTGTGCCCTGCCACCCTCAGAGCTCACATTCTCTGACAACGGCCTCCTCGCTGCTCTGCCAGGGCGGCTGCCTGGCCCTGCAGTGCGGAGCACTCCACGCTCCAGCCACGTGTTCCTCTGCCAGGTGCTCTCCCAGGCTTTTATCCCCAGCACCACGACAGGTGTCCCCAGGTGGGCTCTCACAGACCCCCCTGAGCTGGCCCCCTGACTTCCACTTTGTACATATCGCATGAGATTGTAAACTATTTATGTGTTTGTCTTACTCACTATCATGGAAACTCTAGAGAGCAGAGACTCCTATTTTAGCTGCCGACCCACCTGATCAGCACAGAGCCTAGCACACAGTTTGTGTCAAGAAAAAACTGCTGGATAAAAAAAATAAATGAGCCCTCATCAGGCATTAGCACAGATATTATGCTCTGGAATTCTCAAGGTGGGCCAGGAGTTTAAATCCACACAATACATGAGACTGGCTGAGTCCTTGCTGGCCAAAGCCAGAAAGTTCTGTAAGTTACAGATGGCGGAAAAAAAAAAAAAAAAGGTGGTAAATCTAGTAAGATCTTGAAATAAGATATCAAAATCAAAGATGAATAACATTTGCGATTCAGAGAGTTAAAAATGGCAACATTTAAGAATTTTTAAATGCTCAATCAAATGAATCAAAAGATCAGTTAATCACCAGAAGGTTTTAAAAGATTGAGTTTTTCCCTCTCTCCTTTCCTCTCTCCCTTGCTCTTCCTCCCTTCCCGCACTTCAACTCTCCCTTCTTTTGACGTCGACATCCATTCACCATCATGCAGACATTTACCAGGCCCCAGCCTTGTGCTCAGGCCTGTAACACACAGGGAAGAGCTGGAGGTGAGCAAGACCCTGTCCTGCTCCCCCAAGCCCAGCACAAGTGAGCAGGTGGGCAGTGCAAATGGATGATTGTGGTGCTGTTAGTCCTGGGATGGAGTTCTGCGTGGAGTCTGGGAGTAGAGGCGAGCGGTGAGTCCCCCAGGGGTGTGGTCCAGGAAGGCTTTCCAGGGAGGAGACTCTATCATGTATGCACATTCTGGGCATCAAGTGACTTACACCCAAGACACTTCTGGGAAGATTCTGTCTATGCAGGAAGCTGAGCGAGAAGAAAGGGATCTGTGGGCTGGTCTATATACAGCACTGCATTGCTAGTTTGGGTGTTGTCTCGGTTTCCTACACTCTACTCTCTAGGGCTCCTTTCAGAGGAAGGGCAGCTGTCCAGGTGAGCTGGGGATTGGATCGTCAGTAGGCTGTCTTCAAATCTTTACATTTGTTTCTTTAGTAGAGGAATGCTATGGACTAAATTGTGTCTCCCCCACCACCAAATTCATATTTTGAAATCCTAATCCCAATATATTTGGAAATAGGATCTTTAAGAAGTAATTAAGGTTAACTGAGGACACAAGGGTGAGGCACTAATTCGATAGGGCTGGTTCCTTACAAGGAGACTGGACTCCAGAGCTCGGGCTCTCTGCCATGAGAGGAACAAGAGGAACGGTGAGGCAGAGGCCCTCCCAGAGCCGGGAAGGGACCTCTCATTAGGAACTGAATCGATGGGCACCTTGATCTTGGACTTCCCAACCTCCTTAATTGTGAGAAAGCAAATTTCTTTCATTTAAGCCACCCAACCTGTGGTATTTTGTTACAGTAGTCTGGGCAGAAAGAAGACAAGAAGAAGACAGACCTTGACCAGAGTAGAGATTTGAGAATTTGATAGGATTTCATCAAGACTATGAACATTTTGCGTTTCAGTGATAATTCTGATCTCTAAATTTTAAAAAATTAAAATTTTAAAGTGTAAATTAGCAAACTCATCAAAGAGACAGCATGGTATAATAGAAAGGGCAGATCTAGCCATGGTTTGCTGTGTGACCCTGAGCAAGCCATGGACCTCAGTCTCCTGCCTCATTTTACCCACTGGGAAGGACTGGCAGAGATGAGAGAGAGTGGTCTCCCACACACAGCAAGCCTGGCTCAGAGCAGGCATCAGTAAATGGTAGTCAATGAGATCAGAGTAGTTTGGAAGGTGTTCAGTGAATCTCAGCCCTTCCTTAAATTCACCACTTCATGAACAGATTTCAGAAATGCTACATTCACTATATCTTTACTCTATAGAGCCAGAATTCCTTCTTTATCTATTTTTAATTTCCAACCCCATGACTTCACTTGCTGTATCAGTGCTTCTCAATCCCATCTTAGAAAATGCCACAGGGTATCTATAATTATCTCGACCAGTATAGCCATGCTCTTATTTTAAAACCTCTCACAATATGGAATTTATTTTAATTCACTTAAATTTGTGTTGTACATTTTAAAACATCCCATAAAAGCCATATGGCACGTTAGGACATAGCTGAGAGGTTGCCGAGAAATAAAATAAACAATACCAAGGTTTCACAATTCCTGTGAGATCCAGAACTCCTAACTCAGAGGAAGATATACTAATCCAGATGCCAGAGTTTTAGAATCCTGGAATCCAGCAGGATGAGATTTACTGGCAGCGGATTAGGCAGTTGCCACTGGGTTCCCCCAAAACATCTTTTGCATCAGCCCAGCATCCTTAATCTTGTCACGTTGCCTGGAGTTCTGCCGTAGAGAGACCCCCAGGGTTGATGAATCTTTGTTTTAAAGAGCATGTGTGTACTTCTGTGGGGATGAAATGGGGCAGCGATCATTCCCATCTCAATGGGTATTAGTTCCTCCGGGAATGTTTCTCAGGAGCACTCTGAGGTCAGCCCCTGGGGGCTGGGACTTAGGTGCTACATAGGGAGAGGATCGTAGGGTATAGACCAGCGACAAGGAGGGAGAAGAGAAAGGATTATGAAACAATCAGCCCCCGGCAAGGTGAGGCAGGTAGTACACACAGTGGACTTTAGAGGAAGAAAAGAAAACCAAGGGCCCCAGGAGTGCTTGACCCAGGAAAAAAAACGAAATGAGATGCTGGGGCCCCAGGCAGGAAAGGGCATAGAACAGGCATCATCTACTTCATTAATCAGCATCGACTCTTCAATCCCTTTCTCTGACTGCTGCCATTCTCCCTCTTGATAATTTAAAAACCCTTTTTAAAAATTATCCCCTGGTCCCTTTCAAACCTAAGTGAAGGCCAACTCTAGGCTTGCTGCACAGACACGCCCTAGAGGCACAGCCACCCAGACAGGCGGGTGCCACCTTTGCCATCTCAATGCTGGCCAGCGCTCGGAAACAGACCCTGCAAAGCTTTGGATTCAAGCCAGACACTTGCTTTGCCATTGACAAGTATGACGCAGTGGCCCTTGTGATGGAAAGTCATGAGGTTCTGGAGTGAGTCACAAATTTTTCCACTTCAAAAAAGAGCACGCACTGCTCACAATGCGCTGTGTCCCTGCTTACTTCAAAGTCCGCAGGTCCCCGTTCTCAGCCTTTGTCACCCAGAGGGGCTAGCAGAGCACCAAAGGAGAGATGTGGAGCATTCATGATGTAAAGACATGCTAGCAAACATCACAGGCGGGGCCTGGGGAGCAGGAGAACCAGCTTCCACGAGCTCAACTTGGGTCAGATGGACAAGATGCGCACGGACAGGTCCACTGACCCGCAGTATCCCAGCAGGGAAATGTGGTCCTCCCTGCTCCCTACTGGCTTTAAGGAGGCAGTTTCCATCCAGATTTTAAGACGCTGTGTATCTCCCTCAGCTGATTTTTCCAAAAACCAGCAAGTGGCTAAAACCTTGGGGTCCCTCCCCACTGCCATCACGTCTGGATCAAACCGACCCTCGCTGCAAAGGCGTGAGTGGGGCAGGGTGAGGGCAGTGCCATACCTGGTCCAGCTTCCAGTGGAACTCTGCGGGCCGGAAGGTATCAGCCTGGTCGAAGTCCTTCCGCAAGAGGAAGACGAGGCGGCAGTTGTGCACGTACAGGGCATAGTGATGCCGGTTCATTTCTGAAAAGCAGAATGAGGATTTGGGGAGTGATAGAATCCCTGTGTCAGTCTCCACCAGAGGAGTCTTGCTGCTACATCACCCAGCACAGCTGAAAGGACAAAGGAACGTGCATTCCCGTCTTCTCATTTACAACTGTGATTGTTCTAGATTAGAACATACATGGTGGAGCTCACTGAAATGGGAGAGGAAGACTCAGGAAAACCCACAACAAAACTTTTGCTGAGAAGCCATTGGAGCTTTAAATACCAACCTAACCTACAGTCAGATACTGCATCAGACCCAGGGTAAAAATTACTTAGGATAACAAGCTCTTTATTTTTGGTTACAAATGCTTCTGGGAGGGTTGAGGGGGCTCTCTGCCCATCACATGAGCCACTCCTTGAACACGGTGGTTTCTCCTCAAGTTCTGGGTTTTTATTTTATTCATCAGACTTGACAGCAGTGGCCACAGAGCACGCCTCCTGTCTCTGCCTAATCTATATTAAGAGCAGCTGCCTCACTTTTAGCTGCTGGGAGGAGGGGGCAGATTGATTTTCCAGCATTAGACATAGTTCCGTGACTCTCCGAAGCAGTGAATGAATTCCCCTCCCCATACAGACAATCAATGGGAACTTTTCTTCCCCTGATATGAAAACTTCCTTTCTTGCTTGGATCCCAGCCATGATGCCTGTAGCCACAGGACACTACTGATTGGAAGAAGATGACCTGTGTTTTGACTGGTACTTAGAGAACTCACATTTTACTACATGATAGCACACACAGAGACCTACCAGGAAGAAGATGCTTCATAAATGTTGGGTGAATGAGCAGGTGATCGTGTGTAGTGGAAAGAACATGGGCTCTAGATACTGAGAGACTTTGAGTGGAGCTGTATCTTTGGGTGGTGTTGGGAGAGCCTTAGTTTCCTTAACTATGTCATTAAAAGGGCGCTGGATTATCCTAATGTGCTGTAAGAATAGGAAACTGTGATTGATTTCTATATATCCTGCACAAATCTTGCCTATGAAGTTTGGGTGAGAGGAATCAACACAATTCCACTCCTAGGGTGGGCCCTGTTTGCTCCTGGCCAACAGGCTCACGCAGTCCCCCTGCCGCCATGGTGGCTGGTTCGGGGCCCATCCCTGCGGTCAGCAGTGTGGGCCTTTTCCTGGCACCTCACCACTCCCCTTCCCGCCGTCCCAGGGCTTCAGTGAGGAATGGGCAAGTGATGCAATGCAATTCAGGCCAATGATATGGCACTTCTCTGACAGCTTCTGGGAAAGAACCCATTTTTCTTTTAGCAGAAAGCAAACAGAAAAGACACTCTCTTTCCCGCAGAAAATTGTCTTATATAATTGGGAAGTTTGAGCTGCTCCATCTGTATTTGCTAACAAAAGTGGGTGCACGTCTAGGCACAGATCTGAGAGGCTGCAGCAACAAGGGCCAGGCCTTGCAATCTACCTTGATGATAACTTTGAGCCATCATAGCCCTGGACGTTTTCAGTTACAAGAAACCCACATTCTCTTTATTATTTCCAGTTTTCGGTTATCTGATGTCAGTTTGATCTGGACTTCCCATTCTTTGTAGCCGAAAGCATCTTAATTGATACAATGAGGGACTGTGTGGAAAGCATCTGCCCAGAACAGATGCTCGATAACTGTTACTTATTATAAGGACTATTACGCTGCCACGTGACCATGACGACAAGACAAAGCAGAGTTAGAAGCCGTTTTCAGGAAAGCATCACCATTCTTGAGATCATAACCAAAGGACGGCGGGAAAGGGAGTGGTGAGGTGCCAAGTGTGGCGGGACTGGCCTGGGCCAACGTCTGGGTGACCACTCAGCCTCTGGGTCACCAAACCCTCCTGGCCCGGTTATGGGGATTTTACTACGTATTTCTTGTCCTCCTCCTCACTGCATAACTGATTTTCTGTAGTTTCTGTTGGTAACTGTTAGGACATACATAAAGAAAGAATTTTTGCCTTTACTTTGCTTTGGAGTCAGGAGAGGTTGGGGTGAGGAGGAGGAACTAGAGGAATGAAAGAGCAGACCTCACTCACTCTGCTGGAACATCTTCTGGCCTAGGAGGTTTCTCCCTCCCTCTGCCCCCACTTCTGGATTCCTGGTGTCAACGCACATGCCAGGGGACATGGCTTATCCAATGTGTTGGTGATGTGATTTGCTCAGGAATCAACTTCATTTCTTTTCCTGTCCCTAGGTATTCTTTAATGAAGCTTTCTTCCTTTCTCTTTGTTCATATCTTTGGAAAATCCTGAAGCCTTCTGATCACTCTCAGATATTAGAATAGTCTTGAAGGGTTCAATCCAAATCAGACATCAATCTCTCATCCAGTTAAAAGATATTCCCCCCTCCTCCCATCAGTTTTATCCACGGCTTGGCAACCAACAACAGGGGAAGGATGGGGTGATGTCTTTCATTGTTCTTGTTCCATATTCTCATCCCCCAAATTCCTCTTAGCTCCAATCATGATCAGAGGTAGGCAAAGGCAGCTGAGCAGAAGGGAAGTGTAAAGTCTCTTTAAAAAGCTGGTGGAATTTTTCATTTTCACATGGATATTGAAAGTCCTCTCTGGTGGCAGGTGTCTATATATGGCTCCGTCACTGGTGCATGGGTTGGTTTTTGGAGAGGCTCTGCATAAGTCTCTATGTTGTCTCCCTTACCTACCACACCCCCAATAATGATGGCCATACCATGAATCTTTATGTAGGAATTGATATAGTAGGTGACATGGACCCTCTCCTGATGACTGGGACATGTGTGCTTGTCCCCATCTCACCTTTGTTGGCCCTTGCCTCTCCATTCCTGCTCTGAAAGATGCTCTTCCCAGCTTACTTTTCATGACTTCTCCTCAGCCCCTGCCCTCTCTCTCTAATCCCCTCCTGCACACACATCTGCCCCTGTGGCTGGGATCCCTCCTCCTGGCATGCAGCCCTCTGAGCTCTAGCTTTGCACAGTTGTGGATGCCCATTTGGCCCACAAGAACAAGAACACCTGTGTTCTGCCCAATCATAATAGGAACCTGTTCTCACTGCCCCTCTCTCCTCACCCTCCCCTTGAGGCAGCTCCAGACTTCAGACACCCTAGGCAAGAATCGTGCCTCAGCTTTCATGTACTCTAAACTCCTGGGGTTATAAGTCAAACTTTCCCAGGGTTCTCCTGGGCTCTGCTCTGACACCAGCCTAGAGCAGACTCAAGAGTGTTTACAGCTCAGCCAGCTGGCAGCAGAGAGTGAAATTCCCACTCCTCTCTACAGAAGACAACCTCGATCCTTTTAAGTGGTTTTCTGGGCACCTCTGGAAGTGTGGGAGTATGCCTTCCTTTCTAGCAGTCACGAAGAAGACCATCTTAGCACTTTCTACCAAGCTGACATTTCTGCCTCTCTCACCTGGTGATTGCTGGACAGTTGGCTTCTCTCTTGGAAAGCTCTGTAAGTGAGTGGATAGCACTGTATGTGGGCACTTATCAGTCATTAAGCTCAGAGATAGAAAGTAGAAAGGGCCAATGTGAGCAGGAGAGGATTACTGAGATAGGGAAGGGGATGAGGAAGAATCCTGAAAGGTGACTGGAGAGAGCATTGCTCCCATGGGGAATGGAGAGGTAAGGACCAACAAAGAGGGGTCAGAGAGGGCACGAGTGCCCATGCAATATGCTTGTTGGGAAGACACCATTATGTGTTTTCTTTGCTCCTAGACACATTCTTTGCTTCTAAACTCATTTCACAGCCTCCCCCATGGTGAGGTGGGGCAACATGGCCAAGTTCAGGGAAATGGAGTATGATTAGAAGTGAAACATGACGCCTTCTGTCCTGGTCAATAAAAACCTTTCGTGTTCCAATCTATTCTTTCTGTTCTGTGATTGTAAATGGAAGCAATGAATAATGCAAGAATCCTTAGTCTCTGAATGTCTGGGTAAAGTGAGCTTCCCCACACTCCAGACCCATCTAGGACTACTGGACAATGATGTGAGGCAAAACCATGATGAAAGAGAGTTAGCCATTTCGAGTTTTTTTGTTGGTGGTTTTCTCTCTCTCTCTCTGTTTTGCAATTAGCCTTTGCTGACTAATCAATTCTGTTGTCCAACTGTTTATAAATTACTTCATAATGGGCCGCCGTTAGTAAGTTTTACTTAGCACACTGGACAGAAATTAGTGCAATCTTCATGAAGGGCAATTTGACAATTCACACCAATAGCTTCCTTGACACATATTCTCTGAATCTGTAATTCAACTCCTGGTCAGCAAATAATCAGAAATGTCCAGAATACTCATTATATTTGCATTTCAGAGGAGACAATCTAAATATTTAACAAAAAAAGAGCAAGTTAAATGAAGTATGATAAATCCACATGGCAGAGTTTTAAACTGTCATATAATTCATATTTTCTAAAAATATTTTATCACATGGAGAAATGATCTGGATATAACATTATGTAAAATATTATATAAAGGAAACTGATAACATAATAGTGTCATGGGTATTATAAAAATAGATTGAAAATTATTAGGACATTCTACATATACATAGAAGTAAAAATAACATTGTAAGAAATGTACTAAATGTTATCAGAAAATATCTCCCCAAGTGTGAGGATTTTAGTATCAAAGAGAATACATAAACTTATGTATTCTCTTTTATACTTTTCTGTGTTTTTCATGTTTCTGCTATAAACATATGTTGCTTTAATCACTTAAAAAATTTCTGATATAAAAACTCTAATCAAGCTTTAATTTATTTCTGATTTTCTCAAAATTTAGGATGAGGTATTTATAGGTTTTTGTTTTTTTTTTTTAAGTCAGAGAAGTTAGAGAAAAATCTTCCCACCTCCTCTGTGTCAGTCTTGAGGTAAATTGTAAAACATTTCATACAAGAGCCAAAGCTGAACAGTACCAGGTCCTGCCCACTTAGGGGTGCTGACTGCCTATTTGGGGGAGTGCTGGGATGACAGTGAGGCATCCCTGGCTAATCCAGAGGGTTCAGCCATGGCCGCCCAACAGGGCCCCCTCAAGTTCTGATCTATTGAGCTGGGATGGGGCCTCGGCTTCTGCACATTTTTGCCAGTGTGCTAGTTTGTTCTAAGAAGAACCACTGGTGCAATAGCGTGGGCCTGGAACACGGAGTCAGAGGGTCTAGGTCCGGCCCTATTTTTCTCAGGAATCTGCAATTTTATCTTGGGCCAGTCACTCAACCTTCCATATTGCTTCCCATCTGCTCCTCGCCCCACCAGGCACTGCATGGGCTTGGCACCGAACCCACTGCTAAACCTCAGCGCCACCTCTGCAGGTCTGGGGGTGCTTCCTGCATGAAGATCCCAGAGAAAAACCTATTGTTGGCATTGGCTCCTATACAGACTTGTCATATGACTAGGGGAAAGGCAGGCAACCCTGACTCAGTTTCTACACCCTAAAAATACATGAACACTTAGTGTAAAGATCAGTTGGAACAGGGAATGTGGGCGTTACTGTAGCAGCATAATGAGAATAAAACCAGAAGTAATGATAATAACAACATCAAGTAAATGAATGGAGCACTGATAATACATCTGGTGCTGCTAAATGACTCATCCTTTACTTCATGTTTATTTCCTCCCTTTTACATATGGGGAGACTGAGGCTCAGAGAGAGGAGTTAGCGACTCCTCAAAGTTCACACCTTAAGAAGTGGTCAGCTGAGACATGAACTTTGGCCGTCTGACAGCAGGTCAGACATTCTTCTGCATTGTCTTTTTACTGCTACATCTCTGTGGTTGTTATTCATTTGGGATATTTTAACGAAAGAAGTATTTGGAATGGGAAATTGTGGAATTATAATTAAAGACAGTGTTGTCAAATTGGCATAAGATCTCAGGATATTTGTGTGTGTGTGCATGCTCGGCACACGTGGGTCTAGTGGCAAAAGATTTGGATGTAGTTAGATCTAAGCTGACATTCCAGTTATGGTACTTACTAGTTGTATAACTACTTGTGACAAGTTACTTAACCTCTCAGGGATGTTTTCTTATCCTTAAAGTGGGAAACACAATAATGCTTTTATAAAATTATTTTTAGAGATGTGAGAAACTGTTTAGATTAGTAATAGCTAACAGAGATCACAATTCCTGTGTGCCAGACACTGTTCTAAGCACTTCATGTATATTAAGTCATTTAATCCTCATAAAAGCTCTATGAGGTAGATAATAAAATAATGCTCATTTTATAGACAAAGAAAGTGAGGGCACAGAGAGGTCAGGCAACTTTCCCAAGGTCACGTAGCTAATAAGTGGCGGAGCACTTTTACTCCCCAAGCTGTGAACTGCCTTGCCAGCCTCAGCATGCTGAAAATGTCTAATAAATGTTAGCTATCATTATTACATACTGCAGTGATTTGATTAGCAGGACCTTATTTCAAAAGAAAGCTTTTGGAAATCTTACTATATGTAATATGGTAAAGGCGGAGCCTCTTTGCTTGCTGTGTGGATGAAGATTCCTTCCCAATCCCATCTCGCCTATAGCTGCCCCAAGGCACTTCTGGGAATGCTGGGGTCCTGAGGAATCCAGTTTGAAAACCTCTAATTCCAGCTTTTAGATTCTTTATGTCTGTATCTCTGCTTTCCCGCCTTTCTTACCCCTGCTCAATACTAAGCCTGGCAAAGCAGCAGCCAGAAAACCAGAGACCAGAATATATTCCGAGGGCCCCTCAGGCCCTGCTTTTGTCGATGTCCACCCAGCTGGGACATAATGGGTAGCCACTTGGGTGGGGTCTGGGGCGGCAGGTACAGACTCACCCGTTTTGTCTGAGTTGCAGAGGATGGTTTCCTTCTCAGCTCTCACGCCCGGGCTGGGGCCGTGTTTCATCCACATGGTGATGGTGAACTGGTCCGTTAGGTTCTTGGGCACAATCCCATCGGGGATCTTGGCACCCTGCCTGCCGTCAAACTTGAAGATCATCTCACTGCTGTCCACCAGCAGCCCGGCAGTCCAGTTGGTGGCAGCACTGGGGGACGGCAAGAGGTCAATGATACCAGAGGAGGCTCCTGCAGGGCGTGGGGACAGAAAGGACAAAGCGTCATTCCTCACAGGGCGGTTGTCCTCACCTTCAGTTTTCTCCTACTGGATATGGATGAACTACTCAGCATACTTATTCAGAGAGGTCTTTCCCCAGCCCTGAGCTAAGTGACTTGGGAAAAGAAGTGCCAAATGCCATCCTAGCCCCTGAGCTGCTGATGGTCTGCTTGGGGAGGCATCAATAACTCCTAGGCAAGTGTTGCATGTAGCAAGACAAGGTGCAAGAAAAAAGTGTTGGAGAAGCTTACGGAGTTGGGAGAGCCCTGGGGGCTTTTATTAGCAAGGAGAGTTACTGGAGAAGGACAAGGCTGGGCTTTGATTTGGATGGACAGATTCATTCATGCACCCATCTGTCCATTAACCTGTCCGCCATCTACTGAGCACAGACCGTGTGCCAAGACCTCTGTGACGGGCTGGCCATATGACGGGGAATCGGACACAGTCCCTGACCTGGGGAGCTCACAGCCAACAAGTTGGCATAGTGTGATCAGAGCTGTGATCGGGGAAAGATCTAGATCCTGATCCCATGAGAAAGAGTGTGTACTCATCACACTTTTTTACAACCATTTGTTGAGGCCAAATGGTGTAGTAGTTGAGAACATGGGTTCTGAAGTCAGCAAAACTTGAAATTGACACGTGGCAGCATGATTTGCTAGCTGTGTGACTGTGAGTCAGTTACAACCTTTCTGACTCTATATTTCCTCTCCCCACTGAGTTGTGAGGACTGAATGAGATAATGCACTGAGCTGCGGCAGCATGCTCATTGAGTGGTGAAGATTCACTCAGTGTTAGTGATAACATTACCATCATCATCATCATCATCATTATTATTATTTATGCCACTACTATTATTCCAGGCTAAGGCATGAGGACACCACTTGAAGCAGTGGGAGTGCCGTGGGCAGGTTCGTGTTTTAGGAGAAGCACCCCTACAGCTTAGTGGAGGGCTGAGGTGAGAGGGAGTGGCTGGCTTGGCAGAGAAGACTGGACTTCCCTGCTAGAGGGATCCTTGGGCCTCCACTGACTCTACCTGGAGGCTCAAATGCAGAGTTCTCTGCATCCTTCTGTTCCATACACGAGCAGGACTCAGGTTTCCAAGGAAGAAGGTGGGCGGGGAGCTTCCTGTTATTTTCATGAAATAAGAGTCAGGGATTCAAAGTGTGCCTTGTGCCGGGGGCTGGGGACATGGGGGCTCTCTCCTTGCATGGCACTGGCCAGTCAGTCATAAGCTCTGATGGGGTTAATGGGCAGTGGTTGTGTGTATTACCTGCCACGTGTCCATGGTTATTGGATTTTTGACCTCTGTGTATCACAGCCTCATCTCACCTAGGTTTGGCTTCCAAAGTCAGCCACTGCCAAAAATCTGCTACAATTAAAGTGACCCTTGAAACTCCCTCAGAAATGTGCCTTATTGGAAACCAATATAATTCTTTGAAAATGTTCAGCTGAGCCAGTTTTTCCTCCAGCTTTGGAATAGGTCATCAAGTCTGTACCCACTGGCTTGGAATTAAAGGTTATGCTATGAGAAAAATATGTATTGTTAGAGCCCAGGCTCTCTGCTGAGCACCATGAGAGTTTCATCCTGGGAGAGGCCTCTGGAACTGTGGTGCCTGGGAGGGTGGAGACTCAGGTCTCCCAGTTCAAGCTCATGCTGTAGCTCATACGTATGAAGAGGAAGTGTGGACAAAGTTGATAGTATTATTTCCATGGGTATTGCCTAGGGATTTTGCTTGGTACTGTGCCTGACACACAGAAGGTACTGAGTTAATGTTTACAATGATCTTTCCTCCCACCCAGTGCCCCCATGAGAAGCTCCTGGCCATGCACCCAGAACTTGGGTGAGCCAGCCCATCCAGCCCCTGGCCCATGCCTGAACCTCTCATCACAGTGACTGCTCTCATCCCATGCTCCTAGCTCCTTGGTTGCTATCTGTGTTCCTTACCTGAGAAACTACTTCACACCAATGTTTCATGGCCACCAAAGCCTTTGCCCTCCTTTGGTACCACCTCCATAGGTATTTGTAGGACATCTATAAGGTGGTAGCAGGAATAGATTTGTGGGGGGTTGGGAGTAGGAGATACATGGCTTTTTAGGAAAAGTCAATTTTCCTAGCATCCCTAGGAGACAACATGGCCACAGCTTCTTTGATCCATTAAGTAAGTGAGGTCTGACACCAGACTTAGCCAGTGTGAAGACAGCTGGTGACTGGGGGACACACAGAGTGTGTCGGTTCCTAAAATTTAGCGTGGCCAGAGGGATGCAGGATGAGAGCTCTGGGCTCCTGACTTCCAGCTCAATCCATGGTTCCAACACAGTCTAGCAGGGCTCAGGGCAGGAGTGGCAGCTGCCGTGGCCAGCTCTGCTACCATCCATGGCAGCCAGTCCTCCACACAGGGGACGTGGGTGGGGTTTGGCAGGGCTTGACACTCCACCCCTGGAGGGTCCTTCTTTGGGCTAAGGGCTTGCAGTTCCTATAGAATTCACACTGCAATTGATACCTTAGACTAGTGAAGAACTGATTGTGAATTTCCCAGCAACAGGTTTGGACAGAGGGAGAGAGAGAGAGGTGTGGAGCATGGGGTGATCGGGGAAGGCATCAGGGGAAGGTTGGGAGGCAAAACTGGTTACAAAGTAACTCAGCCCTGGTCAGGATGATTCTACAGATATATTGGATATGTATAGAACTTTATATTTTATAGTTACAGACCTTCCTTATTTTTCTCTGAACTGTTTATGGGCAGTGAGTAGGTGCCAAGGCTGAATTAAGTATCTCACCTGCTCTTTCTTAGTTACTCCTGTGTGTGGTGAAAACTCTCACGATTCTAGTTTACAGATGAGAAACCCGAGGCTGAGCGAGCTGGGGATCACAGCCGGCTGGTGAGTGGACCCATCGCCAGGACGTCCCAGCTCCAAAGCACGTGCTGCCCACTGTACCACCGCAGTGGACCTGAGGGCAGATCTTGTGACCTTCTGTTCATCTGGCAGACATGGAACTGAGGCCAGAGAGGGGAACAACTGGACCAAGATCATGCAGTCATGCAGCTAGCCAGAGGCAGGCCCAGCCTCAGAGTAGTTCTTTCTACTACATAGTAGGATAGGGTTGGGCAGTAGTGTCCATAAAACCCACCAGCTGACCTGCCAAGCACAGCCTAGTCCCAGGGGACCCCACCTCCCTACTCAGGCTGCTGCTTCCACAGAGGGGCACGCTGAGGATGACATGTGCCCTGGCAAAGCCATCACCATGGAGCTCCTTTGTCTTTCCTACGGAGGTTGGAGCAGCACGCCACCCTCCCTAACCCGCAGATGTTGCCTGCCAGAAAGCATCAAGCTGCATTTGACCAGATGGTGCAGACTTCCACAAGCTTAACAGATTGTATTTCATTTCTTGGTACCCTTAAACAAACTGAGAGAGATTTACTTCCTCTAAGGTTTTTCTGTCTCTCTTCTCCCCAGGGATGCCTGGGGAAAGCAGTGGGTAAACAGGATGCATCACTTGCAGAGATGGAGCAGCACCATCTGCACATCGGGGTGTATTTAAGATGCTCCCGTGGAATCCTCCTGGGTCCACCAGGCTGCTGAGGATCCATGCTGGTCTGGTGCACAGCAGCTGCAGTGTGAGTGCTGGGGACTTGGAACCAGAGATGGGGTTCCCTGGGCCCCACTAGGTGGGGGAAGCCACTCAGATCCAGCAAATAAGGGTGGGAGTGGGATGAATGATGCAGATTTCAGGGCACTTAGTGTGACAGCCCAAATGGGGTCTGGGCAGGTGGCCACTGTCTGGACTTCTTAACTGATGGGTTTGCATTCTGTCCCGGATGGCCTTGGTGAGGCCAGAGGCTGCTTAGCCATTCAAGCGTCCTGTGGCAAGGGTGATTGAAGTGAGCCTCAGGTCACACCTTCTCAGGTTCCTCACCAAGGCATGGGCAGGGCAGGAGCTAGTAGGAGGGTCTCAGGGAGAAGAACAGTGTAATCCAGGACATAGAACTGGCTCTGTAGAATGTTCTCACTATGGGCAATATTGGCTGCATATTATGTCAGCAAATGTTACGTAATGTCTAAGTTACCCCAGCCACTGTAGTAAGAACGCAGCAATGAATCAAACAGATTTAGGGACCCAGTGAAAGTCTTTTATTTGCTATAAAAAGCAATTCTGTGATTCAGAGTCTTAAGGAATCCAGCAAGGCCAACACAAGTGCCGTGTGGACTGCCAGAACTGCTTGGTGGCAGAAGGTATTCCATTCACAACACACTTCTCTGACCTATGATGCCAGCTCAGCCATGCGACTTGGTCTGATGGATGAACTATGGGTGCAACTGACATGTGTTCTATCAGGGTAGAAGCCTTAAGAACCAGGCTGTGGTTCACTATTTCTTTTCCATCTGCCACAGAATCACAGGGTTCTAGATCAAGGCTGTTCTATTAGCCCGAAACCTGGCAGAGAGACAACATGGCACAGAGCCACAGCTGATCCAAGGATGTGGTGGCAATGATACATAAACCTTCATTATTTCAGTGCCCCATGAGAGTTCGCAGTCATTTGTTACAGCAGCATAGCCTGTCCTATCCTGACTGATAATCCACATCAGTGACACCAACAGTTAAAATTCCCATTTCTCCATCTGCATACCTTAAGCATAGGCCTGAAGAACTTTCTGATACCCTTTCAGGAGCTCATACTCTATTGAGCCTACAATCGGACTATCATTCCACCTCTAAAATCCTAGATAAGAAGGATTACTCCAAGACCTTGGAATCAGAAACTTGGATTTCTAGTGAAGCAAGCTGGGTTTTGGATGGGGGTGGCAGCCCAGGCTCCTGGGGCAGGGCTATAAATACCTAGTTGCTGGTACCCTTAAACTGAGGGCGAGGACACTGCAGGCAAGAACCTACTCCCTCACATACCATGTTGTATGGTAGCTGCTTAAATGACCTCCAAGAAATAAGCATATGCAGAAAAAAGCCTACTGT